TCAGCGGTGTGTCATATATGTGCAAAAAGACCGATTTCGATATATTGCTTAGGATAAACTCCTTAGAAGCGTAGTCGTAATTCTGCGTCTCGTTTATCTCAGCTTCCTGAGGTGTAGTAGCCGAAAATTTTCACCACAGACTCAATGAATGATGGGCAACACAATACACCTTTTAGATTTTCAATAAGATCACTTTCATTTTCTTTTATCAATTGTACAAAAAAGTTGCAATTGACTCATATATACATGTATATACAATTCGATCATAGTTGTTATTTTGTTCAAGAGTCGGCGTTCTTTCGTTCGTTTCATATTATTTTTTGTTTGTTAATTTATAAAAATATTTATTTTTTATAATCGATTCGACAATGGCAATGAATATGTAGATATTAAAGTCGATATCAGAAATAGTACTGTTAATGTAAACAAAAAGAATCAAAACTGAAGTCCTTTTCTAAGTGAGGCAAAGTGAACGCTTTACTATAAGACTAGGATCTCATAGCTGTTTCAAGAAAGGAGATACATACACTTAGTACTGTCACTTTTTATCTGAAGATAGCATATTGTGAGATAACCATAAACATCTCGAGTACGTCGTTGCTAGTAAAGATTCCTTTTGTCTATCGTGCGTCAGTGGATAAGATTGAAAGTAAACGAAGAGAAAGTTTTTTCGAAAACTCTCTTGATACACAGAGGCGAAAGTTGACTAACGCTCAAGTAATTCTTGTATGGATAAGTAATAATTACTCATCGAATCATATTATTTCCTTTTATACTTATCCGCTATTGATCTTGAATGTATTTTTTCGCGTCATCGCTGATCATGGTTTTCTCACAGACTCACTATTATATCACTAAGTTGGTTACATAGAACAGAACCAAATGTCGATTATAATCTTATGGCGCTAAATTGTTGTAGTCTCACGACTAGACAAGCGACTATCATGGCTTATTCTTTCTTGTGCATTATTTATATTTCTTCGATTTTCTTCAAAAGACGCATGTGGTGAGTCGTATGGAGCAATGGCAGACCATGAAGTAGGTGCTATCAAAACAAATTCGTAGAATATATAAAGAGTGGCCTGGAAGTCCTGTCTCATTCAGTTTTTTCTCAATATCTCGATCAAGGCTGATCGTCAACTATCAATCTTCTATTTAAAAAGAATCTCATTCAATTCTCTAACATCATATGTTCTCATATACGTTGCTATGCGGACAGACAAACAGACAAATAAACTATTTATTTTGTAAGACCCTGAATTTCGTCAGGAGCACAAGGTTTTATAATCGAATTGAGGCGCCAACTTTGGATACTAAAGTATGCTAGTTGAGATCCTCGTTGTATCTTATGTAACGTATAATTGATTTTGTGTAATCGCGCGTAAATCAATCTTTTTATTTTTCATCATTTATGCCGAGGTATTCCACAGGGTAATGATAGAGTCTAGCAAAATGACATCTAATAGTACAAACTGAAATACTGCATTGCAGCCGATGACTCATCAATTTCATCCTTTCGTCTTATCGCGCTTGCAAATATAAATACATTTCTTTCGTATTTAATTATAAGTGCAATAAAACGAAATTTATGGATAACGCCTTTGTACTCGTTTTGGGCTGCAAAACGGATTTAATATCGATTCTTATTTGACAGAACAAACCTGTTTGATTTACAAGGTGTTTGAACAATACTGAAGAATTGTTTACGTACTATTATGGTTTTTCTCGCAAAGGAACTAGTTTCCTTTGACCTACAAAATCTACCTTTTCTAAATCTCTTCCAAAATATTCATTCATCTGTCAACTTCATCAATCTGTTACTATGTATATAATATAAAAGCACTCTGGGCTTTTTGATATTTATTTTTGTATTCTTTTGCTCTTCCTCTCTTGTTTATTCCTTCATTCTACTTACTTTGTCTTATCTATTTCTTTGTTCATCTATCTATCTGTGTGTGATTTTAGTTCTACATGTATATAATATACTATTGCATTGGTCTACCTGCGAGAACGACCAGAATGATACCATATTATATTCTTTTAAATGTCAAACGCGTTTCTTTTATTCCTTTTTTATTTCATTGACAACCAAATAAAACGAATTACAATTCGTACTCTAACCTGTAAAATCAAATAAAAGACATTTGATCTGATTGTCTCATGTAATATTTAATAAATGCATGAATCGCCCTCGTAGGATACAATATAGTCTAAATATTACTTTATCGAAGGCCAAAGAGCTTGTAGAATTTTGACTCTAGAATATATCCACTAATTTAGTCAAATATGAAGAAGCACATTCTCTCACGAGCTACTCATCCAGTCAAGTCGAATCAATCGTCCTCCTGCTCGTGCTATATTGAATCAGTTAGTACTCTATTATGTCAATGACTTAAATTAATTAAAAAAAAATACTAGATAGTGCGTGAGATATTGGTCCCATATGGATCTGACTTAGAATTATAAGCGAATTTCTGGCAGACGAGTATAAAGAACATTTTTTTGAAAATTATATGAAAGTATTATCAGTTTAAAATATATCTAGTCAGATCCAGCTGCTTTTTAAGATGTGAACTAATCTTTCATATGGTCGTGGTCGATGCATAGAAATTTGTTAAAATGAGTGGATTACTTTCGTAGATTTTGGACTAACTGACTAATATTACAATGAAAGAATAGAGAGCATCACAATAATTATTATGGAAACAAGTACAGCATAGAATGGAGATGTACATTAATTTTGTACGAATAAATATTCAACAGACACTGAGTTTATGTTCTTACACTAGATGTTTTCAATAATAGTGAAAGTTTGCGTGCTAAGAAGGATTGACTATAAACAGTAAAAGTGTTTTTTCACACTGAAAAACAGTTGTTTTTTCTCAAAAAAGACTAAAATAAAAAATAGATGTATTCGTATGTGTATTGCACAATAAGAAAAAAATGTGGACACAAAAAATATATTTGACCAAAATTTAGTTATTATTACTGTTGAAACCTTTTTTTTTGCGTCCGCACTAGAAATCTGAATTTAGTTTCAAAACAAAAAATATTGAAAGAGATAATTGCACATAGAATCATCAAGATTATTAGCGTAGATGCTCGATTAAATGAAATCACAAACATAGATGTATCGACATGAGGAATGAATTCACAGTTTAACAATAAAAAGATCAACAAAATACAGAATACGTCTTTCTATCAGTGGATGGAGTTATCGCCAAATGTTTCATTAAATGAATATTAATTTCATGATCCCATTTTTAGTAGTAATAAGGTCATGGCAGCATCGACCATATCACCATCTGTATTTGAATTTGCACGTGAACGTTTTTTTGTCGGTAAATGAGCTGTGTCTTCTGTTGTTTGTAAATGATGAACTTTTTCTCGTTTAGTAGTTATCGATGTTGGCGGTGAAGACACTCTTTCTTTTCGTCTTTTCGGACACATATTTTCATCTGTCAACTCTTTCTCATCTGTAGAAAGTGTTTCTTTTGGTGTAATTATTCTGGATTTTTTGATTTTTTTGGTTGTTAATTCACTTGTTGATGACACATGTTGATCTTGTTCCGTTGAATTGTTTGTCTGTTTATGTCTAGATAAAATACGTTTTCGTTCATTCGACAACCTCGTATAAATATCTTTTGTGTGTTCACTGTTCAATGATAATTGTTTATCATTCATTGTTATTAACGTCTCTAATAATAGTAAACGTCTTGTAGTGTCTACTGTCCATAATGGATATCGTAATTTACTACCTGTTAAAGGATCTTTTGTTATTTTAAGAAAAAAAGATATTTGTTTCGTCATGTGATAACGTATTTTACTTTTTAATCGAGCGTTTTTTATTAATATCTCATCGGTTGAGTTTGTAGACGATGAATTAGTAGATGTAAGAGATTGTTGTTCAATATTTTGTTCAATCCATTCGCATATTTCATTGAGTGTTAACGCATGATTTTTTGAATCTTCTATAGCAAATAATATCCAAAAACATAAGGCAGAATGTGGAGGTGATACAGCAACAGTAGATGAAGGTTTAGATAAATATTCATTTTCATTCGTTACAACATGTTCACTCGATGAATTCAATGACGATGTTGAATATGTATCGGTTTCTTCGCTATCAGATGAGAGAATATCGTCATGAACACGTATCGTTTGATCCGCTAATTGTTTGAGAGAATAGGTTGGTAAACTTTTACTTAATATGGGTTGTACTTTCGACGATGGTGGACGTCGTAGAATATCTGTTTCTGTTAACCAGGTCAATTCGGTTAGATCATCATTACCATTAGAAAACTTTTCTTGTTTTGCACTCAATTGTTGTGCAAACATATTGTTTGTTTGATGTTACTCTTATCTAATTTTGTTGTCCGTATATCTGGATTTTATATTCGTATTATTTTAGCCAGTTTGCATTTGTTTTTCGCTGCCTTGCTTCTTCACTTTTGATATAGAATTAAAAAAGAAAGAAGAGAAAATAAAGTACTGCGTAAGGTTATTCTCTCTTTTGTTTTTTATCGTTATATACACTTTTTTTTTTATCAACTAGAAGAATGACTGGACTCACGCACATATTTGATGCCACGTCATATGACGTAATCATAAGTGCTAAAGTTTTTATGATTTTTTAAATCAACTTAAATCTATTGAAAATTCTTTTGATTTTGTATCATCAATGAGTCATATATACACACACAGTCTAACACATACAAATTTTAAATTGATTGGAATGAGAAATGAGTCTTTCTTGAAAAATCATGTGAAAGTATCTTCAATTTTTTTACTCTATTATCTTTTTGAATGTTAACATAAAATTCTCTTACTGTTAGTCATTTTCCTTCCTCATTTCACATCTGTTAGCCAATTTTTTTGTATGACGAATACTTACCTTCGTGATTTTTGGTTTAACATATTTGTCATTTTATTACTTTCAATGTAACAACGTTGTAAAAAAACAAATGTTCATCTGACAGAGAAAAGAAGAAAAATAAAGGCATTACGCATTTGTCTTCTCATTTTTTTTTCTTCTTTCAGCTTTATATATACCTTTTTTCCTCTTTGCAAATCTTTTAATATCTAACTTTACTCTAATCGTGTGTAACAGAAAAAAAGAGATCGTCAAAGAATCCAAAATAGAAACTGAAAAAAACAAAATATGTGTACGTATACCATATAGTGGTAAGAGAAAAGAAAGAAAAAAACAACCACACAAGATCATTCCTTTAATTCGAATGAAAATTGGAGTAATACCGACGACGACGACAGTCTTCTACAACAAGTCAAGAAAATGAGCAAAAGAGGAGCGAGTTAATGAAAAAGAAAAATTGAAGTTCATATATTCTTTAAAAAAAAGTTACGTTTGATAATAAGTACGAACAGCAATTTCTAGAGACTAACTGTTTCTTCCTGAGAATGTCGTACATTAGAATAGATCAAAGAAAAACGGAAATGTTTAAAAGAGTAGAGAACATAAGTTTTCCAAAACAAGAATATTTTCTTTATCATTCTTATACTTTTGTAAGTTCGAGACGTCTACTGAACGTAAACGGAAATTATGATTTAAATATGGTTAGAAATTAATTGTTTCTATTGGAGCTCGCGGAAAATGAGAAAAGAAAAAACAAAATAATTCTTAGCCTTGGTACTGGTGATCATTTGTCAGCTATTGACAAAACTCTTTTCTTTGTCTGTAATCTAAAAATTGAACTCCTCAACTTGCAACATATTTTGCATTAGGACAAAGAGTTATGGGTTAGGAAATTTTTTTGAATTTTTTCGCTCACTCTGAGGCATAGTTATCATGATTAGTAAAAAAGTAAATTTTTTCTCTTTGAATGAGCTTGTTTATCAGATATGTGTGGTCGCTTCATGGTTAATCCATCACTAGATACAACCTGTACTAAAATGATCAGTTCATCTAGAAGGGTTCAGACACTATGTTTGATAAATTGTAACTGCTCAAAGCCAGTGTTGTTGCACGTAGTGTAACCTTCGGAGGATTGCTACAGAGAATTCAAGGTACAATGACACGAACAACTTGCTTGAGGTTAATACCCGACTTAACGGTGTCACAGTTCAAATCCAACACTTTGAAGTACGTGACGGATAACATAACCACCAAACTATGCCATCTTTCAGAATAGATAGATTTAGTCTATGACAACAGACTTCTGCGTATTAAAAACTAGTTTATTTACAAAGAAGAATTTTTTCTGTCATTCTCTGCTTTATTTTTTCATCGAGAGATATAAAGGAGCTTATACAGAATAATCACACCCTACATAATTACATCTATAGGATGATGAGTGAGAATGTGATTAAGTGAAATAAATCCTTTCAACTTTTCTTGTTGAAAGGTGACATTTTTTTCCTGTGTCATTCTGAGTTCTTTCTTATGCGCTGGATCTAATTTTTGTAAGAAGGAATATGTGTTCTACACTTGAGACAAAAATAAGCTACCGTCTAAAATTTCAAGTAGAGCGAACGACTTAGAAAACCGTCATTCATTCAACCGTTTCACCAAATCATGACCCAAATTTGACCGTTTCATTCAGATGGTTTGCACAACGTAGAAAAAACAGATTTGAGAAGCATTAATGTCATTGTTAGATGTTACAGCAAGTTATAGTAGTTCTAAAAAACACATAGAAAACAAAATTTTTGCGACTGACTTCGAGGAAGAATAAGGTTCGATACCAATCGTCGCCAAAAAAGCTCTAGTAATTTCTGTCCTCATCAAACGTATGTTTCGCGTTAACGTATTTTTCCCTATAACACAATACGTTTGAAATTATACAGTTATAGAAATTAGAAGTGTTTTTATCACTCTTTCAAATGGGCGATGATAAATTATGTTTTGATCCACTTTCTGGAACTTCGCAAGTTTTTCATTAGTTTCAAAAAAACAGGTAATTGGACTTAATTAATCATTTTCAGATACTGAACGAATTTCCTCCTTTTTCTAAAACATATTGTCCGCAACAGCATGCCATTCTCTACAAACTCACATTAGTTTTAACTCTTACTAACATGTTTAGAGCCCTGAATAACGAATTTTTCTCGATGTCCAGAAATAATGTTCGACATTTGGAAGACTTTTGCACCACCCGTTACTTTTCAAAAAATGAAGAACTATTAAAAAGAAAACAATCAAAACGTCTTTCATTATCTCTCAATGAGGAAAGCCGAAAAAGTCATTATACAGCGACTGTGACTTTTCTCCAAAATGAGCATACAAAAACTGTTCAAAACTGCATGATTTAATTATATAAAATGTGTGAGTACCATATTTTATAGTAGGACTACGCCATCTTTTCTCAAAAGTCTAATTTTCCTCTTCTTTGAGAGGCAGATATGGCAATCATCATTCGTCTCACCTTTCGACCAATGAGATACACTTCCGTTTCTTCCTGTAGGTGCCACACTGTAAATTCGTGTTCCATACGAACGGGTGACACTTTCACCCACTTATGTGTGTCATCATCCATCAAAGTGGGTGATTTTCCTTTGTTTATCACTCATCACCCACTTTAGCAGTTCAAAAGTGTTATCCTGCTGGGTGACCGGTAATCCACTTTTATAGGTGACACTCTCTACAAAAATGGATTACCAGTCACCCAGCAGGATAACACTTTTGAACTGCTAAAGTGGGTGATGAGTGATAAACAAAGGAAAATCACCCACTTTGATGGATGATGACACACATAAGTGGGTGAAAGTGTCACCCGTTTATATCGAACACGAATTTACAGTGCACTGTCCCGAAATGTTACGGTAAATGTGTAACAATGTTACGGTAAAAACCGGGTACCATGGTTTTAGCGTAATATTGTCACACTTTTAGCATGATATTGTTACACATGTAGTATGACACAAAATAAAACGTGACATCACTACACTTTTACTGTGTCAACGATGTTACACTTTATCCACGACACTGCCACACTTTTATCTTGGTATGATCTCCAGCATGACATTTCTACACTTTTGGCGTGGTAGTGTCATACTTTTAACTTAACCGTTGGAAAGCTTCTTTGTTTTATTATGAATCATCGCTGCTTGTTGCTGGTTAAACTAATGTTATATTATTTACATTTTATTTTGTGTTTTTATGTCGACAGACATTATGAGCTTTGTAGGGAATTTTGTTTTTTATTTTCTGTACGATCAGTTTTTTCGAATGTATTCTAGACACTGAAGATTGACCATTGATTGCTCGTTTATTTCAAACTGATTTGGAATCAGTGTCATAAGGTCCAAAAGTGGAGGAAACAAGTGTCAAAAACTTAGAAATTTTTCAAATATCTTTTTGTCCAGCGCCATTTAGTAAAAAGGAAAAAAAAAACTTTTATTTTCATTCATTTTTCAATTCTCTCTTTTCAGTTGCTCGATAAGAAACTAACATCGAAAGCGGTGTAGTGAAAATCGGCTCGCTGTGGAACCGCTTTTGGCAGCTACCAGCAGAGACAGAATCTGTCGACATCGCAATATTTGCGCAGCGCAATTGCAATCTACTTTCTTGTGTGCTGTTGCGCGCATTTTTTTTCAGATTTATTAATGGTAGAACTGTAGGTCCTTTTTCTAATAACAGCAGTCTTTGCTGTTATTATTGTTTCAAAACTTGTCATCTTCGTTTTAAAAAACAAAAGAAAATTCATCATTGTTTTCTTTATTTTTGGATGTTTTACTTACGCTGTCAATCTAGAAATTAATGAATGCGTACAAGTTTGCCATACGAAAAATATACTGATGACTAGGGATGCGATCCTGGTTGATTCCACGTTAAGTGTACAAAAGAGATTGGAAACCCAGCTAGAGCAACTGTATCTTAGACCAATTTTCTCTACTTTTAAGCTCTGGCAAACCCGTGGCTTCAGTGCACCAGGTACGATATCGTCTAGAACGTTTTAAAAAAAAGGAAGACACATTGAGGAACAAGTTAAGCTCGAAATTAAATAGGAGTTCGGAGATACTTGACAAGTCATTGTGTTTCCTACGCTGTTAAAGTTTACGATTGATCACCTCCCCACCGATCATAACAATACCATTCATAACACTAAAAGTGTAGCAATGCCACACTTTTATACAGGGAAAACGTCTGACATCCTCCAAGTTTTATCCAACCAATAGAAAAGCGATGTCATAGTTTAAGTGTTATTTTTGGTATCCCGAGTATGTCATTGTCACAGTAAAAGTGTATCATCATCGTCTTACTGGTAGTTGTATTCTGGACGATAATGACACACTTTTACCGTGACTTTCTGATAGTTTTGCCGTTATTTTTTTTACAGTGCGCAAGTCATCAGAGATTGGGAATTTTTGAAAAAGGCTAGTCGTTCGTTCTCAAAGTATGCAAAATAACTGTTATGATCTGCTCCCCATGACACTTTTAACAAATCATTTCTTTTATTCTTCCTTGCAGTATTTTTAATAGGTATTTTTTTCAGATTGAAACTTTCGATTTTGCTATTAACATCAAAGTGGAATTTTCCACTTTGGTCTGAAGGGTAAAGTGGACAAAATGGGAACAGTACCATTTTTTTTCCAACAACGGCTAGAAGAGAATTTTTTATCGTCTCGCGGTTTTCGTTTTATCACTGTCAGTTAATTGGATTGAAATTAATTTATCATCTCTTCTTAGTAATAAGAATAGGATAAACAAAAAGAAGGAAATCCCTTGTCCTTTTTTCTATACTATTGTCCACTGTACGTTGGACATGTTGCGCAATATTTCCTGTTAGTTGCCTTCTTCCAGTATCTGCCCAAACTTTTTGCTTTCTCGTTCTCTCTCTTATCACTTCTTAACTTTTTCATCTACTGTCAACCTGTGTTTTTATTATCGCTGCTCACTTTAATTTCTTTCTAACTTTTTTCGTTATTAAAAAAGCACATTACTAAATTTCATAAAAAAGAGTTAAACAGTTAAACAAGCAAGAGTAAGAAGTTTTGTTAGTCTTTCTCGACGCCGCCCAGGACCAGGGTTTCCTGAGTTGAATATACGGATGTCAGCGTACCGATCAAGAGAAGACGGCTATTGAGAAAGCTAACAATGACAAAAGTTACTCATGACGAAGTTACACTAAAATGTTGGTTCCAATTTCATACTTTATTGTTCTCGTAGATTTCGACGTTTTTGCCATGATGACAGGAAAACCGTGACTTTATTCGTTTATACTGTCAACCTTTTCTGTCACAGTATTTTTTCTATCAGATTATGTTTCCTTCTCGACCGTATAAAAAATTGAATGTTTAATACTATTCAGTTAACAAGCTTAATGCACATGTTCAGAAGGCGAAACATTTTTTCTGAATGTTTTCCTTTTTTGTAGTGGTGGGACAGTTTCGGTTCCTGAGAACTGGTCACTAGTTCAATTCTTGTTGAACGGGAACTGCTTACCAGTCACTTCAAACGAACGGGAACTGCTAACACTTCGTTTCAAGTTTAAAATCGAATAAAACGGGCGAAACTAGTCACATTGACTTTGTTTAGTGGGCTAAAGGTAAATGGTACGTTTAGTGGACTAAACAAAGTCAATGTGACTAGTTTCGCCTGTTTTATTCGATTTTAAATTCTTGAAAAGAACTGTTAGTAGTTCCCGTTCGTATGAAGGAACTGGTAAGCAGTTCCTGTTTAAAAGAACTGAGCTGGAACTGTCTCATCCCTACTTTTTTGTGCTCATCTATTCGTTTTAGAAAGGTTTTTCTTGTGAGGCGTAAGAGTGAGGAGAGTAAGTTTTGAATTTGCTAAGGTTGTTCCTAATCAAGTGTTTTCTACAACCTGAAAGCATTTCTGAAATTTTGTGATTTCTTTTGTCTAGAAATTCTTCTCCAGCAATGGCAACAAATAACTTATCATCATCTGTTGATAACGAACAAGAATTACTTAATGATCCACCGAAGTTACATTCTTATGTTTTGAAAAAATTCGACGATTTTAATGAAACTATGACTGATGATGAAATTTTTTGTCAAAAAGACATTGAAGCAACCGCCGAAAAAGCGCAAAGCCATATTAACTGTCTTATTAAGAAATTTTCCTCTGATCTATCGGTTATTAAAGAAGAACTTGACAAGCGTTTAAAAACACTCCAAGAAGAGAATAAATCGGCATGCGAAGAAAATATGCGATTATGTGAGGAGAAATTCCACATATTTGAGGAATTATTCAGTCAAAAGAAATACGAAGAGTTGTACAAGAAATGTAAAGAATTCGAAGTCAATTTTGAATATCGTCTCACAACCATACAGAATGTTCCAAAGTTACATTTGAAAGATATAAAAGCGTCTGATTACTTTTCATTTGGATTGACACAACAAGTCCAAAGTCAATCACTACCTGAATCGACCAGCGTTCCTGATACAAAAGCACTTTACAGAGTAGACAGTAATGACGATGATAAGAGTGATGATAATGTACAACAACCATTATTAACAAATAAACAAAGGATGAGAGAACAGAAAGCCGTTGAAAGTGTCATAGTAGATGAGATAACGAACGGTATGGAGGACGAAAAAGATTCTGATGATCATGAAACCGACAGGTATTTTATTGCAGATAGGGCAAAAGTAATCATAGCCGTTGCGAGATGAGAGATAAATTTTTTTCGGTAATACCGTGTAGTAAAAGCGATAGAACATTTTTGTCTAAAAACTACTGATTATACTTACTACCTAGTGCTGAACGTATCTTGGTAGTAAACTTCCAATAATATATGTAATAAGTCTGTTTGTTTAGACTCTTTGAAGGATTTGGCAGCCGTTCAATAAAACAAAGTGAAAAGTACGTCCTCTAGAAAATTTGAATGAACATTCTTCTTTGGCAATATAGTTTGCTCTTGCTATAGAAATTATGTTATCTATATTCTATTTAGTAAAAATAATAATGGTACTTCGCTACCATATTTGTCGTTAGATGAAAAATCGGCTATATCAAAAGCGAACGACGTACAAACAGAACAATATCAAGGAACAACAACAACATGGGCATTTTACGATCAAAACAATAATCGACGGAATATTAGTAGCCGAGGCAGACAACAACAGCATAATCGTGGTCGAGTAAAAATGAATTCTCCAGCAAATAATTGTTCAACAACGACCATACTCTCACCTAATCCTAATATCAGTAGACAGAGGATTGATATGTCACGCCTTACACTTCGTAAGTATCTCTTTTTGTGTATTTGTGTGACTTAAGAACCTTTTTTTGACGTTAGGCATTCCTTATGAACATCCTCGTGATCATTCAACATTAATCACTTGTAATAAGAATTATATTGTTTTATTCACAAGACGAAACCAACGAACAAACGATTGGTCGTTAAAATCTCTTGATGTCCAGAACAACTACATACACAATTTAAAATGGAATGATGGAATTATTCTCGCTTTAGGACGAATTGATGAAGATTTCTTTTACATTTTTACCGAGTTAAGATTTTTTATCTATAATGTTCACAAGGAGTATATTGTTGATCAACGAATATTGACTAAATCGAATGTGGATGAACACGATGAAATAACAGCCGAATCGAATTACACTGCACGGATTGGTTGTTTTGCTAATAACTATATGTATTACATTTTCAAAAATAAATCACAACATTATCTTTTAGTTAGATGTTTAGCATCAACACTCATGGTTGATGGAAAATTTGATCTCACTCAACGTTATCCAGAAGTCATTTATTTTCTGTACATTTGTGTCGAAAAAACACTAATCGCATTCTTATCGTTAAACAATGAAAAAAAATATTCGGTGTTATTCGCTGATCATGAAATGAAAAAAAGAAATGAAATTGAACTAATCGACGCTATAGAACCATTGACAATTTCAACAGCTTGCATCAAGATATTTACAAAAGACGAAACTTTATGGCTTATTAATGATCCGAAAGCATGTTTAATTCATTGTATCAATAATCAAGTATATTTATTCATCATTTCAAGCGCTTGTTATTCAATATGTACATTTGGATCAGATTTAGTTATAGCAACCAATAAAGATATTCTAGCACTCAATTTAAATGAACACTATGAAAAGCTGAAGAATATTCAACGATAATAGCTCTTTCTACTATTTGTCAAATTTTTGTAGTTGACGGTAATCGACAGTGAGAAACGAAGGTAGTTGCTTCGTAGATCGTTAATTTATTTTTGTGCCCGATGGCAGGGTATGAAGAGAGAGATGCATGACTCTCGTCAGGAAAAATTAGAACGACTGATAGAATTGGAGCTCTTGAGTTTCAAAAGTAAAAGAGACAAAAAATTGACAAAAAAACAGATAATAAAACTATCAACATCATATTGGTCAGTTTTCAAGCACTGTTTAAATAGTATTTTGAGAGATAAAAATGTTTATTTTTTAGCGACAGTTTTTTAAATGCCTATATATTGTTGTTTTTTTATTTTATTTCTTACAAATTTTCGATATTTTTTGACATAATGAAACGGGTAAATTAATACAGCATTCTAGATAGTTTGTTTATTGAATAATTTCTTGGATAAAACTTGGAATATTTTTCTAACAAATAGAAAAACTATGAGCTGATTCGGTTAAAAATTGGTCAAGATATATAAACGTCATTTGAAAGTGAGTCTTGAAACTTTCTGCAATCTTTTGTGTAAAAAGAAATTTTGTAATTTTAATTCCTGTGGGGAAATTTCATCGGCTTTCCAATGTTCTACTGTCAGCTTGTCTGCGCTTTATGAATTCCTAACTGTAGGCGATCAAAAAACAAACAACATAAAAAGACATTATTCACAGAATCAGCTATATTTTTTAAGAAGGACTATGTTATATGAATGTCTCAACTGGTAGGAGGATGTGACATTGTAAAATTCATTCATTCATTAATGTGTTCGGTCTCATAAGAACAAATATGACTTTGTCTTCAGAGAACAATAGCTCTTTAAAACTATTCAACGATCATAAGCTGCAACTGATTTAAACAGACGAACTTGCTGGAAAACGAAACTTGAAACAGTTACTAATTACAACATGGTTCGATTAGAAGGATTAATATGAAGTAAACATAAATGTACGGAAGCTAAGAAAGAATTACATGGAATGTTTAGTGTTAGAAGAATCTGATAGTTTTTTCCTTTGTTTTTGATATTAAACCAAGTCTTCATATTTTTCAATTGGTCAGATGCAGATCGTAACATTTACCTCCTTTTAGATTATTTTAGAGACAACTATGACCGCAAAATGATAGACAGTCGAACTTGAATGAATGAATGATTTATTCACGAAAAGTGCGAACTTGTAGTCCGCTTCGAGAAAAAGTATAATTAAGTTTCTTAGTTGTAGACTATTATTTTCATAATTACGCTCATTATAATAGGGATCAACTATTTGATTTTATTAAACAAATGTGGAACAACAAATTGAATTCATAACACACTAGAAAAGTACTGAGAATATAGCACTATAGCTAAAAAATTCTCGAAAGCGATGAAAGTATATTGAGCGTAAAAAGCTATAGATCGAGCGATAAATCCACAATTAAACACAACCTAAAAAAACTACCAACTGGGAAAAGATAAGAAAGAATTTATGGAATGAATCTTAACAAATGTCAACTGAGTATGATGTGTTTTTTTCCTTCTGCATGACGTTGAGCCAACAAATAAAACATGGTATCCACTCAGAAAACGTTCCGAAAATAAGTTATTGTGTTCCAAACGAACTATTGTCCGTTATTTAAGACGAATAAAAAGAATTACTTATTTAATCTTTTCTCTCTTTGTATGTGTTGTTTATTTATTGTATCAATAAGAAACGTAACAAAACAAAAGCAATAAACCGTTTTTATTTTGCATGTTTCAAAAAACACAGACGTTGGAAATACACACATATTCCAAAATAATAAACGGTCTTGTATTCTTTCTTAATGGCTTAATCTTCTTCTTCACCATCTTCTGCTTTGGCACCCTTTTCACCTTTTCTCATATTTTTTCGTTTCACACGACCTAAAAAGGAAAACGAACAATTATCCAGTGAACTTGTACGTCATTTTTTGGGTTTTTTCTTTGTTTCTGATACATTCTGTTGTCTGACAAATGTGTGATGTGTTGGAGAAAAAATTAAATATTTCTAAATCCAAGGGAATTTGAAATTGTCTAAATTTCGTTATCCAAAACCGGCCTAGCCAAATTCCGATCATCCAAAAGGGAATTTGCCAAGTTTTTTACCTTTGGCATCTTTTACTGATGGGGGAGAAAGCACGGGTTTCTCGCATTCGTCTAATTAGTTTCTTGTATTTGCTTGGCGAGTCCGTTCAAAAAACCTATCGACTGATAGTACAATAAGGAACATGTAGATGAGATAAATAGGAAAGTTTTTCTCAAATCTCACTCTCCTATAATGGACTTTTCATCTCAGTTGTGTTAAAAAAATATCATCCCACGTCTTCCTTCTACGTGTAAGCGCAGTTTTTCTTCTCCATTCTATCTGCTCCTTATAACAGTTTATATACCAAAACCATTGCTGTTTCATGTGCTTACCTGGACGTCCACCACTGGATAATGGAGATCGTAGAGCAAAATCAATATGTTTCTGTGAATCCAAACGAACAATAAACGATGGTATATTAACAACTTGTTTACGAACACTAAAGAATGAAAACAGACTAAATGAAAAAGACTTGTTTTTTTCTATATTCTTACCGTATATGACGTTGACGAATTAGCACACGGGCATGATGAATACTTTTTGCTAATGCTAAACGTAACAATTGTGTTTGTAAACGACGTTCTAAAAAATCTTCAACTTTTAAACCTAACACATAATCCAGTTTCATTTTTGTTTCATCTAATACACCAATACGAACTAAACGACGTAGAAGTGCATTGCCTAAAATTAAAAACAGACGTGTTACGTTCAGTATCAACATGAGTATAATTTAGTATTTGAGTACCTTCAAATAATCTTTTTGGATCTTTTTCATCGAGGGTAAGTAGTTCACGAGCTGCTTTACGAATTTTAGCTAATGTATAACGAACTCTCCATACTTCACGTTTATTACGTAACCCAAATTTACCAATTAATTCTAGTTCCTGATCTAAACGTTCTTTTTCATATGGACGACGAGGCGTCGAATATGTTTTATTGCTGACTAATGGAATACGAGGCATTTTTTGTTAGCCTGTCACGCCAATCTAAAAACAAGAACTGAAGAAGTGAGAATACTGTTGTCAAGAGAGATACAGACTAAATGACTACTCTAAAATCAAAGAGAAGTATCAGATACTGGTTATCTATTCATACATTCTAAAACTGCTCTATTCGAGTTTAAACCGCAATCAAGGATCGATGATCCATTTTGGTATTTGCCGAAACTTTATCTCTTCATCAGTTCGATAGAATTATGATTTGTAAACCATACTGATGACCTGACGAAATTGCAGAAATGTTTGGACACTCCTGGTCTATATTATCAAGATATATCCGAGGAGTTGTGTAAAAATAACCAACCCATGTCATAAACAGTACGGCGAGCTAGAAGAGAGATGATTGGAGCTCACAGTAAAACTGATTCTCCCCAAGTTAAGATTTTTCTTATTCAGAAAAGCAAAACTTGATCAATTAACTAATGAAAACTGACGCAAAATAAGCCAGTGCACCTTAATCAAGAAAAGTTTGATATTCTAAGATTCTCCTATGGTTTCGCTTGTAAGAGTAAAGGCATGAATGTTTCTTAAATGATCAATTTTCAACCAATTGGATCAATGTTTTGATTAGAGTAAGCATATGTAAGTATATATGTGATAATATGATATGTTCTCTCTCTATTTACTGTTATACTGCTTGTTTTCTATTTATAGTAGTGACTGATAAACTAGCTTGATTCAAACGCACTTAATTTTTATCTTTTTTCGAGCGTTAAGTTCATAATTTTGCTCAGTTTCTATTTCTACTTATTTAATTTTTTTCTCGTTGAGTTACCTTTAGAGATGTCAGCCACTCTTAATTGAAATGTTACACGCTGCCGAGCAAACGATGGACTAACACCTGTAGTTATGTGCAGAAAAAAACGTAAAAAAGGTATCATCAACTCTAGCCTAAAAGAGTTTTTCTAAACTTCGTAATTGCACTAGAATTTGTAAATCATGATTTTAACTCTTTATATTATTCAATATTATTCGTTTTGATGGTTATTCGAGAGGCAGCATGTTCTAGACGATGAGAAGTCATTTGGATTAGCAGATGAGATTACGTTCATTTTGTTTTGTTTGCTGTATATTTTTTGATATATGTTGATATGACTTCGACAAATCGAAAAGTAATTGTTGTGACTGGCGCAAGTAGAGGCATCGGTTTGGCATATGTTCGCCATATTGTATTTCTATCAAAGTTAGATTTTCAATTCGATATTGTTATGACTGCAAGTAAAGAACAACCACTGATGGCAGAATTTGATAAACTATTAAATGAAATTAATGAGAACGGTTTGAATCATCGTTTATTACCAATTGTTGCTGATTTGAGTGAAAATGTAATTGAATCATGTCGAAAAATTAAAGAAAAAATAATTGAAACATTTGAGTCTAAAATTGATACAGTTTTATTTAATGCCGCTGTGTTAACACCACTCAAAAAAGTGTCCAATATGTCCGATGATGATTATAAAGAGTTAGAAAAATTATTTTCAGTTAATTTATTGTCAGTGATTAAATTAGCAAATGAATTGATTCCAATGATGAATATAATTGATGGTAAATTTTTTTTCATGAGTAGTGGAGCAGCATTAAAAGGCATGTCTGCTTGTACAGGTTATTGCGTTAGTAAAGCAGGATTAAATATGTTTTGTCAGACATTAGCATTAGAAAATCCACACTTGTTTTCACTAGCAATTAGTCCTGGACCAGTGGAGACACGAATGCAACAGTTCATTCGAAATTATGGTCATACAGAAATGTCAGCTAATGACTATAATTACTGTATCATGTTACATCAAGATGGAAAATTAAATAATACTGAATTACTTGCAGCTAAATTTATCAATGCATGCTGTTTACTAGCACCTAGAGAATGGAATGGTGAATATTTGCATATTAAAGATGAAAAAGCAATCAATTTAATTAATCAATATGAGAAAAAATTTTGTTGATAGTAACAATTTTATACTACTTTCAATGATTATTTTGTTGACAGAGTGTCTTTAAAAAAGAAAAGTTCACTTCTTCATCGTTCAAACATTATTTCAAAGTCAAATAATTTTTTCTGTTATGTCAGTTGAAACATTTAGACTAAAAGACATATGGTTATTTCTTCTATATTACTCTGTTATTTTTATTCAACAAAAGAATCTAATTTTTAATTTTTTAAATACAACTGCTAGTAATTAGATTTATTGATAGATGTCATTTACTCTTCGTTTAAATATGAAATGAAGAATATTAGAAACATCAAAGATTAGTTAGTTATTGATTTGATTATACATTAGGAATAATGAATTTTTGATCGCTCTGATTTTATTATTCAGAGGTATAATCAAGCAGCTATCGTTGTGATCTGTGATATTTTTCCATTAATTTCTTTTTTATTTCCGAGGTATTTTTTTTTTAATATTATTAAATGGTTTATTTTTTACTTAATCTAACAATCTTGGAGATAATTATTATTATGTTTATAAAAATATATCAATTTTAATTAAAATTTGACATGTTTTTCCTCCTGATCTGTCATCTTGATTGTTAGTCAATTCTTGTTTGACACAGTTTTTTATTTTGAGACAATTTTACCAGTTACAAAGCTTCTTGCCGTTTTTACATGTTTCGAAAACAACGGTTTATCTACTATATGATTTTTGTTTCTAAAGGATAATGAGTGAATAACACGATGTAAACCATGTCGTAAACCATGTCTACGTCAGTGTTTACATATGTGCCACTTCGTCATTAATTAATAGAATTTATTTGGATATAAAAAATACTTTATCGCTCTTCATCACTCTAATTTTAGATCTCACGATCGATGTCAACGTCCAATATTTAGAACGACATTAACACATTTATTAGAAAATCGGCTATGGTTTTGGATTTGAGTTTCAGGTTACATACTTCTTTTCCATATCAAACAAAACCTCTAAATCTTATTTAAAAATTAATAACATACAGAAAATACGTACGTAACAAAAAAATAATAAAATGTTCTTTTATATACAGTTAAAAATAGAGATTCAAGACAAACGGTTGGTATAAGAACAGAGTAACTTTGAGTTAGTCAATCTCACCACTAAGGACAAATTCTATTTCTTTCGCAAACAAAAACGTACGAACGGGTCTTTTATCGAAACCTTGCACATGTGTATATGAGAGAAAAGATCAGAAAAGTTTTTACAAAAAAGAAAATAGTAAACATTTTTCTTTTTGATGGGTAAAATTATTATTTTTTGAATAACCTTAAAAATGTTATTTTTTAATCCTTTCCAAATGGTATTTATAAATACCATGTTTTGAGTATTATATCTTTTAGCTAGTAAGTTCTCATGTAAACAAATTTTTCATAAATTTAAAGCTAGTTTATCGGTTGTACATTTCAAATCACTAATCAGATATTGATTATGGAAATGTTTTTGACACTAAAACCAATATACAAGAACACGTCAACAAAGTGAACAATTTCAAATCTCTTCCTCTTCAACCAAACAATTTCAACCCTTTTTATTATATACTAGGTGTCACCATCGGATGGTTTAGAAATAATGACACACTTTTGTTTTTAGGCTTCTTCGTAGGTATTCATCGAGTAGGAATTTGCGCTTAAACTCATTCGATTAAGAAATGAATTCTCAACAAAACTACACTAGTTTTAGTAGAAAGTAATCTTGATTTTACGATAAAATGATGGAAACATCAAAGTATCTATAAAGATAAATCTAAAATTCCTTATATCTATTTCTTTTGACCTTCAACTTTACTCAAAACGTTAATCTAATTATTTTAAAGTATCATCAAAAGATGCAATTTTTTTAGGAGAAATTTTCGAATGTCCTCGAAGTATGAAATTGACTTCGTTCTAGAATAAGATGTGATTTGTGATGGCGTAGTAAGACCATTTAGAACATTGTACTTTTCTATATTGTATAACAAAAAAAAAGACTCTTTCCAATACTAAGGAGGGAACCTCTTTAGGTGTTAAATCGCTTTTCGCTCGGGACCATTGCCATTCGATAGGTCCTACTGAGTAGTGAAAAAATCTAGAAGGGTTTGGGTGCATGGCTCTTCTGGACTGAGATATCGAATTATCAAGTTATGATCGAAATAGACTAAAATATCAAAGGACGGCAAATTTTTGCTAGAAAATGGCCCAATATAATTTTGAGTGAAAATGATCGGAAATGCTTCTCTTTTCACTTCCCACGTTCAAAAATTCCTTCTGATGTCTTTCAAACAAAAATTACTTTTCATTTTTCGCGACCACCCACTGAAAAAAATAATCAAAATTCATGCAGGATCCCGCGGGTTATCAGTATTAAAATATCTGGCGATGTTTCTTACCTTTACGCAGGATTTTTATACTGTCAGTCCTGACAGAACCCTGCATAGTTTATGTAGGGTCAGCATGGAAAAATCCTGCGTAAAGGTAAGA